CTTCCTCTCAGTGTATGTGAGTGGCAGTCTTGTTCTCTGTATGTGCATACCCAAGGACAAGGATGGGGGGGAGGGTTTATGTTAATTGAATATCTGCTTAAATTTGCCTAAAACAGCCCCCCCCCATCTGCATAGATCAACCATTTTCTCTCACAGTATACATAGCGTCTCCCTATGAAAACCGCAAAAAAGAGAAGGGGGGAAAACAGGAGGCAGGTGGGATAAATGGAAGGGGAAAGCAGGAGTAAGGGGGGGGGGGATAAACCAATGAGGGGAGGGTAAAGGGTAACTTGCTAGAGAAGAAAAGCAAAGCCCCATTTTGGTGTTACAAAAAAGATTAAATTCAGCAGAAGGGTATTTTTGTCTACCAACTAAAGCTTGTTGATCTGACATTTTATATTACCAAGAAACAATTTCCCACTCATTTTTCCTGTATCAGTACAGCGGCTTAGATAGCAGATAATTGTGCTATTGCAGATAGCGCTAGCAAGAGCACGTAATATGCAGTCACCTTCAGACCCAAGTTCAGTTCTTTCAGAGAGCGTCTGATTTCACTGGTGAGGATGTTCATTCGTTCACATTCCTGGAAAGCAACTACCACATATGGTGTTTTCTCAGCTGCTTTTGCCATGATTTCCACCATGTTGAAGGGCTCTGGAAGCCGATCCAGGATCTCATCTAGCACTGATTTCACCTGACACACAAAAGGCCAATTATACCTTTTACTGCTTGTAACATTTTGCTGAGTAAGCAAATTACTGGAATGGTCTATTTTATTTTATTTTATTTTATTTTATTTTATTTTATTTTATTTTATTTTATTTTATCCTCATTTCTTTGTGGTCAAAGAAGAGCCAAGCCAAGCCCAGCCCAGCCCAAAAACCCAAGAAAAGGTAAAGATGTTCTCGAGAGTGACTCCTGGGGCCACAACCAGGCAATTTTCTTGACAACATCTTGGAAGTGGCTAAATGCTACTGTCTTGAGGGATTTTTTTTTTTTTAATTGTCTAGTCAAGACACTAAGAAATGACATACATCCTTACCTTCTCTTCACGGGACACACCAGTTCCTCCTCCGGCATCAGATTCTTTGGGTTGCATTTCCAGCACTGTGCGGAAAAGTTTCTCTGAGGTTACAGTGAGGAAACCAATCTCAGCATTTGGATGGAGCCCATACAGGTAAGGGCTCTCAGGTGGTAGGTTTTCATCAATATACTCATGATAGCCCTATGAAACATGTATTTTATAGAAGTATTAGCTGATACTCAGCAATTAGTTAATTCAAGTAGCCCAGCCTGTGCATTCTGACTTTCACCTGATGGCTTCCAGTTTACTTTGTCTCCAGAGCAAAGGCTGCTCTTGTGAAAAACCTTCGGGTTTTCTATGATGCCTTAAAAGGTAAGTGCCTTAAGTGCCTAAGTGCCTAAGATGCCTTAAACTGGTAAGTTGATCTCATGTTGAGAGGTATAAATGAATTCAGCTTTTGTTTTCCATAAAAGGGAAACAACTGTTCCAACTAATTCCATCAATACAACTTGTGAAAAGTAGACTGCACCACGATGGCTGGTGTGGGTCTTCCGGGCTGTGT